TATGAGTTACTAAGAATAGTCGTAAAAATTCAGAATGACCATTATACTCTACAGAGGGCACTTTTTACACAGAAGGCCTTGGTATGGAGAAAATTGGGGAAAATATAGATTAATAGGTGTGTGTTAAATGAAACACTCTGCTAGTTGTTTCAGATGAGATAATAGCCTATGAATAATAACAGCCTCAAAATAACTTACAGGAGAACCCTCCTTAGTAGCTCAGGGGATTAAAATACAGCACTATGAAGCTCCCTGCAGTACCTGTAGCATGAGTTCCATCCCCAGCCAGGGAGGTGACCCATATGACACAGCAGACCTTTCCTGTCTTGCCCATTGCTCCCCTCAGCCGTGGATTTCAGTAGATCTGCCTATTCCACTCTGCCACTGTTGAATCCGCTCACTCCTCCCCTCCCCCATCTCTGGCTGACACCCCAGCTCATGTGTGCATAAATAAATAAATTTTTTCTAAAGTAACTGACAGGAAAAGAAATAGTTTTGACATTAATGCAAGTAGAAACCCTTCAAAGTAAAAGTGACTGAACTTGTTTCTGTGCTATAGTATATACTCTTGTCAGAAATAACCGGTCATTGTTGTTAACTGGATTTTGTCCTTTATATGTTGTACTATATCTTGGAGCTATATTAGTAATATTTAATTGCATTCAGTAACTTGTGAAGCAGAATTAGACACAAGATTAGTTGATTATACGCTATGTAGACTTTTCTTCTTGGGTTAAATTTTCCACTCTCAATTTCTCTTTAGTCTGTTATGTTTCTTTAAAAAAAATCTTAAATTATGTATATAAATAGGTGAAAGTTTACTTGACATACCATCTTCAAAAAAGATAGCCAGCTGACCCTCCAGCCAAGTGAAAATCCTATTTCTCCACACCTTACCTAATACTGAATATTTTTAATCTTCAGATGCTGAGGGCAAAAAGTGGTATCATTTGTGTTTGTATTTACATTTACCAGATTGTAAATCTTTTTGTATGGTGTCTATTTTGCATTTGTTTTGTACCTTACTTCTTCATATTCTTTAATTTTTTTTCTATTGGGTTGCTTTATCAGTTTGTAAGAACTTAATGTATTATAGATTCAATCTCTTTTGCATAGCCAGAAATATTGTCTCAAAATTTGTCTCTTTTTATTTTTTAATTAATTTCAATTTTTAAATCATAGTAAGCTTATAGTTTAATGTAAAACGTATGATATAAAACATTTTTGGTCACCTAATCAGACCTATTCTGAGAACAACCTCTGTCAACCACATTTAACTTTTATTTTTTTATATTTCTAAATTACATGCTTAATTCCGTTGTTCCATTTAGATATCATATGTGTCTTTCTTCTGACCTTCCCAGTATAGGTAGGTATACTGCAATTTTTGTTAGATCTGTATTTATTATTTACATTAGTAGGACTATAATACTTAATATGTTTCAGGATGATGGCCCTTGTTAAGGGGATCATTTGCTCTAGGCATCACTGGGTTCTTTAATCTAGGAACTTTATTTTTCAGTACTTCTACTATTTATTTGATAATTAGGACCTTACAAGATTGATGGTTAGCTACTCTCCCTCCCACCACCTTCTCTACTTATCTGTATTAGATTTTACCTATATTCTTAGTTTCGTTACTTCAGACTTTCTTTTTACTTTGGGGTTTGTTAACTTCACAGTAACTAGCTGCTGTTTCATTGAGACCCTAGAAATACAGTTGTTCAACAGGATAGAAATTAATATGCTATAGTAGTTCAAGTGTTAGATCAGTAAACAACTTGGATACACAGTTATCCAAAGATCAGTTTTCTTCTGTCTTAATTTATCTTTCCTCCCAAAAGATATTTTCATCATATGCATGATTACAGGAACATTGTGCTGGGCTTATAAGGGGAAGAAGTGTGTAGTATAATTACTATTCTGTAATTATTCTATCTTAAAGGCTCAGATCTGAAAATGTCACATGTCACTTCTGATCATAATCTATTAGCAATCATTTGACTATGCCTAACTCAAAGGGGGCTAGAAAATGTAAAGTTGCTGAACAGCCATACATAAGTTTTAATTTTCATACTATGATAAAAAGTAAAAACATTTTGATAGACTAGTAGTAATTTATGCCAACGTGTCACTTACTTTAGAGGCATTCCTAAAATATCTGTTATTCTTTGGAAGTTTGTTCATACATTAGAGTAAAAATGTATGAAACATACATTTGTAAAAACCATAAAAATAGTTTATTGGATTTGTGGTACTGAGTGGGACTTATTGACTGGTAGATTTCATTTCTGAGACATTGGGAAGGAGCCAGCTTGGAGACTCTTGCAACTCCATATTTATAGCTGTTTCCATTAAGACTCATCATAAAGAAATCTTCGAACCACTTGATTTCAGATCTTTGCCTTGGTTATATATGTGCTGAAAACTGGGTGGGAGAAAGGGAGGAAGTGGGTTCACCATTCAGCATACAGGTTTTCAATCTATTTCCCTCTTAGCAGTTCAGTAACTTGATTCCTATTTCTTTAAAATGGGACTTGCCTATCCTATTTGAGGATGACTTAGTCACTTAGCAACAAAAAATGGGATATATGGGAGATCTAACTATTCCCTAAACCGTTTTAATTCGTTCTTTATTTTTTGACCCTCATCCTCAGTCCTAATTTGGTGCCTCTAGGGCCTAAAGCCTCCATTTTGTATCATACTATCTTCCCCTTCTGCAAGTGTTTGATTTTAGCATCTTTCACTGACAAATAAGTTACTATTCATATCTTAGCTTTCCATCTTGTGAGATTTTATTGATATGTTCCATATATTATTGTTTCTTTTGTGATTGATTTCTTTGTGCTTTTATACTTTCTTAGATTACCTATGGCCCTTTTTAGAAGCTTTAATTCCTTAATACAATCTAGTCATGTCCACTTATACCTACTGTTACTTTATATATGTCAGAGACAATTGTCAGATCATTGTCTATTAATGATTTAATAAATTAATTATTGAGCCAGTGTTAAAATGAACATTTTTTAATGGTTTCTCTTAGGAAATTTTGTGATGTCTTTGTGCTTTTATACTTTCTACTACTTTTACAGCCATTTAGAAAGGATATCACAAGGGAGCATGAATTTTGAAAGCATGGGCTCTACCTGCCACATTTTAACTAGAAGTCCCATCTTGTTAGCGTTTACCTGTTTAGAATATCTTTGCCTGAGGTTTTTGAGTTGTGTATGATCAGATCTCTAGTAGCCTTTCCAGTGTAATTTATCTGAAACTTATTTTTGGAGATAGTGTCGCTTCTTTATCTCTGTTTTCCCTTTGTTTTATACTTAATCAGTATCATTGAGTACTCTCATTCATTCATTAAGTTGTTCTGGAAGGATATTTCTATTTTGTCTTCCTAGAGCATGCTAAATTAAGAAGATTGTTATTTCCTCTAGAGCAAAGATAATACCGAATTAGATTACTTATGGCCCTTTTTAGAAGCTTTAATTCCCTAATACAGTATAGTCATGTCCACTTATACCTACTGTTACTTTATGTATGTCAGAGACAGTTGTCAGATCATTGTCTATTGATTTAATAAATTAATTACTGAGCCGGTGTTAAAATGACCATTTTTTCAATGGTTTCTAATTTGTGTTGAGTGTTATATCGGTACACTTAAGGATACTAATAACTAAAAATAACCAAAAAACACCTCAATCTAGAAATCACCTTTTGATTTTTTTCAGAGCATTATCCTTCCTCTTCACCTATTATATTTCCATGTTATATACCTTACTTTTAGCACTAACATGTTCTCTTTCAAATACATTGAGAATTTAAACTTACTCTGACATATTTTTCAAATTACAACATTGTTATACTGGGTTTATTGAAGAATAATTGACAGGCATGTAAAATTTAACAGTACTTGTCTTTATGGAAAAGGGGATTTTTTTTTTTTATTTTACCTATTATATTCCCCAATCTGTTCCTCACCATGCCATTTCATATTACCTTAAAAAAAAAAAACTAAAGGAGGCCCTCCCTGGTGGCGCAGTGGGTTAAAGCATTGCACTAAGAAGCTGAAACCACTTCCGCATGAGTTCGATTACCACCTGCCCCGGAGGTGACCACATGGTGTGGCAGACCTCTCCTGACCCACCCGCTGCTCCCCTCAGCAGTGTACTTTGTTGATCTGCCTGTTCTGCTCCCCACTCTGTCTCTGGTGAAGTCTTTCGCCACCCCTGCATCTCTGGCCTGTACCCCAGTTCTGTATGTACAAATAAATAAATCTTTAAAAAAAAAAAAACTAAAGGAATAACATACTTGCTTGTTGGTATAATCAAACTATGGAGGGAGAACCACCCAGATTTTGAATAAAATTCAAAGAAAAAATTTCAGTAATAATTTGTCTTGTTAAAAATATGTATAGATAAGCAATCTATATATAATACACATTATATATTGTAAGTAAAACAGCATAACATAGTAATATGTTAATAAATATTTAATATTGATAATAACGTTGATTATATTACTAAAAAAAATAAGCTATATATTTTTTGTTCTTTGTAGGCTGCTTAAAGGATTCCATCTTATTTATGTACATTTTTAGTGTCATTTGTATAATTTTGTTAGTGGTTGCTTTGAATGTTAAAATAGTCATAGTAGTAGGCTGTTGTACTTTGAATGTTTACTATATGCTAAGTAAAGTTTTGTATCTCTTTAATCTTTACAGAAGCTCTATGAAAAAGATGCTGTTTTAATCCTTATATTATGCCTGAGAAAACTGAGCTCAAAGAAGTTAATTTGTCTCACCACACAGTTGTTATGTTGGTGGGAAAACCTTGGTTTAACTCCACAATTTGTATTTTTAGTCATAATGTGCTATATTACCTCATTAGTATGAGGTATTTTTTAGTTGTAATATGCTGTGTTACCTCACTAATTTTCTGATGTAAGACATTGAAGATTATAATGTAAAGGCTTTTTTGTTTGTTTGTTTCATGCCCTAGGTTTTGATGATGATGGTTCTGAATTTCATGAACACATATTTCTGGATAAATATCTTGTGGATTTTCCAAAACAAGGACCAATTCGCCACTTCATGGAGCTGGTGACCTGTGGCCTTTCTAAAAACCCGTATCTGAGTGTGAAACAGAAGATAGAACATATAGAATGGTTTAAAAATTATTTTAATGAAAAACAGGACATTCTAAAAGAAAGTGACATACAGTTGAATTGATTATCATGGAAACTTTATTTTAAGCTGTTGAAGATAAGTATTATAACTAAATAAAGTAATTTTACTAGATGTTTGCCTTTATTGTGTTAATTACTGCACCTGACTTGAATGGTATAAATGTTGTTTAGGAATATATAGAGTTAACTATAAAATGCTCTTGTGTGGAAAATGGACATTTGTGAATTCAACTAGTGATTCTTAACAAAAAGAATTAGTAATAAGCTGAGACAACATCCTCTGTAATCTTTTTCATTCAGTGACTACACTTCGAAATACATTTGTTAGAGATACCTGATGACATCAGAGTGCTATAACAATTGAGGTATGTTATATGCATATACATACTTACATATTTGCATATATATTTATTTTATATTTCACGCTAAATCTAAATGAGAAGTGACTAAGTATGGGTCAGCATTAAGAAGAACATTGTATCCTAATCTCTCCCAGTACTTTAGGCCTTCACATCAAAGTTAAAATGATTATCTTCTATTATGGTGCCTAGAAATGTGACTCAGATTCACACAATTCAAAAAGAATTGAGTAGTCTGAAAAACCTCAAAACAATTTTTTTATCTTTTTATATTCTAGACCTTCCAAGCAAATAAAAATCATGTGAAAAAAACCTCCATTAAACCCAGGCCTCAAATGATGAATACATACACTAAGGAAACAAGGCACCGTGAATGTACATCAGCAAAAAATAAATAAATAAACACAGGCATTAGCACTAAAATTGTTTGCTTAGCTTTCTTTGCTAATTTTTTTATTGTGTTATTTGTATTTTACCTTTGATAGCAGTCCTTGTCAGAAGTATGGTGTGCAATTTATTTTAAAGATTTATTTATTTTTACTTATGTAAAAATATTCTGGTCTTGGGTTCTAGGCCAGAAATGCGGGGATTTTTATTTATCTATGTATACAAGACCTGGGGTATAGGCATAGGTACAGGGGGTGAGAGGATTCACCAGAGACAGAGTGGGGGGCAGAACAGGCAGATTGATGAAATACAGTGCTGAAGAGATAGGAGAGGTCTGCCACACCATGTGGATCAGCTCCCTGGCTGGGGATCGAACTCCTGCTGAAGCGTCTGCAGCTGGCTTCATAATACTATGTTTCAACCCGTTGCACCACCAGGGAGGGCCCCTGGGACTGCTTCTAGAAAGCAGAGGATATGATGGAATTAGTTTCGCTTGTGATTATGTTACAAAAGACTCCTTATGAGGCAAATACATAAGGGTTCTTCTGGCTTTGAAGAATTAGTCATGTTGTGAGATGACCTGTGATGGGCCACTAGGAGATAAGTGTAATCCACAATGAGAGCCAGCAGCAGTCTTCAATTGTAGGACTTCAAATAACTGCCACCAATATCCATGTGAGCTTGGAAGACACCCTCATGCTCTATAAAGGAATGTAGTCTGCATGATACCTTGTGAGGCCCTGTGCAGGGACTCACAGAATCAGAGATAAGTATTGCTATTTTAAGTCACTGATATTGAGATAATTTATATATGCTAATAAATAAAATAAAAAGGGAAAAAACTGCCATTAGAGAATCTATGTTAGAAAACAAGAGAACCTATAAATCAGAAGTAATAGAAGAGTTTAAGTTTGTAGCTGCATTTCTTAATATGAGGCACAAATAAAATGTAGTTTATAAGATAGCAAATATAGTAGCATCAAAAAATACAAGTGAATAAAATCTTAATGCTATGTAATAACTATATAAAGAAAAATTTTTAAACTTTAATGAAACAGGGCCTCCCTGGTGGCACATGTGTTAGCCTCAGCACTGTCAAGCTATCACCAGCCACTACAACCTGAGTTTGATCCCCAGCTCAGAGCTAACCCATACGGCACAGCAGACCGCCCTCCCCTCGGCCATTTATTTCAGTCCATCTGCCAGTTCTGCTCCCACTCTGTCTCTGCTAATCTCACCCTCACACCTCCGGCCTACACCCTCAGTTCTTGTATGCGTAATACATAAATCTTTTTTTTTTTTTTAATTAAACAGAAACAGATCCATTTCCAGCACATGGAAACATTAACAGATGACAAAGTTAGCATTGGTGATCTATGGTAAAAGAATGGAAATTCAATAAATGGCTATAGGATAGTTGGTTTTCCATATGAAGAAAAAAAGTAAATTCTCTACTTCATGCTATACCAAAAAAATCCAATTCAGGAGTGTGAAAGATAAAATTTACTTTTTTTTTTTTTGCTACTGCCTCTTTGTTATCCTCTAAGATAATTTTTTAAATTTTATATATTTTTATATCATTTTTTATTTTTGTACGATGTATGCTTTTTCATCTTGGTTGTAGCCCCCATGGAATTCCCACCACAAATTCGTCCATGTCATCACCATAGTCCCTTGTGCTCTTCCCACCCGTTTTGATCCTACTCTTCTCTCTACCCCACAGAATGTCTATGGTTTATAGCTGTCTGTTAATTACAATTTTTACTTTATTATAATTACTGAAAGATAAAATTCAAAGCAAAAATATCAGAGAATGTCTTTCTGGCTCTGATGTAGACAAGGTTTAAAAAATCAAAAGCACAATCCCTAAGGGAAAAACTTAAAAATAATAAAATGTAAAACTTAATTAAAAATGAATACTAAGTTTAAAGAGAACATCAAACAAATTCTTCCATGTAATCACCAAATGGCTAGAATTGTATATAGGTTTTGTAAAAAAATCCTAAAAATAAAGTAGAAGAAAAACAGGCAAAAAGGATATTGACAAAAGAACACTGGCATTTCCTAGGGGGAAAAAATGTAATAGCTAATAAATATATGAAAAAAATGCTAAGGGAAATGCAAAGTAAACCCTACTGAGGTAACATTTGTATCCTGTTAGGGGTAAAAATTAGAAGCTAGGAAATAACTCTGATGCATGATAGTGGGAGAATTAATTGGCAATCACTTTTTAGAAATATGTAATTATGTTTATAGTATATACATGTGATCAATAGACATCATAATTTTATGTGAAATTTAAGTGCATATATAAATAACATAAATGATGCTCTATATAAGTTTATATGTACATATAAATCTACAACCGTATGAACAATTCTTCCCCTGTAAATGTATGTCCAAAGAAACCCTTGCAAAATGTGCCAAGAGGCATATGAAATAACGTTCCAAGTAGTAAAAATCAGGGGAGAGTTCTCATCACCTGGAGAAACTAATAAATAGTGTTTTTTTCATGCACTGGCACATTACACAGAAGTGAAAATAATTAAAGTAGACCCTACACATCAACATAGATGAATTTTAGACACATTGTTGAATAAAAGTTAAGTAGCTGAAGAATACATACAATGTTGTATTTTACATAAAATTCAAACACCAAAAATTGAACATATGCTTGGAGCTATAAATGTGATTAAATGAAAAAGCATGAGAATGACAATATTGTATTTCAGGGAGGCAGGGAGCTAGGTTGTGCCTGGAGGAGAGATACAGAGCACATTTCAATAACACCTGTTTCTCAAGTTGGATGATCGGTTCACAGGTATGCATTTTATCACTATGTTTTAAAAATTATATTACAGATACTCCTTTTTCTATAACATTTTATAATTTTTTAAAGATTTTTTTTAATTTATGCATACAAGAACTGGGATGTAGGCCAGAGGTCTGTGTGTGGAAGGGGGATTGAAAAGATTCACCAGATACAGAAACAGGCTGATTTACTGAAATATACTGCTGAGCAGTCGGGAGGCTCAAGAGGGCTGCTACATCATGTAGGTTAGCTCCGGACTGGAGATCAAGTTTATGCTGCAGTGGCTGCCCATAGTTTGATAGGGCTGAGGCTTAACCCCTTGCACCACCAGGGAGGTGCAACATTTCATAATATTTTAAATTATATATGAAAATAGATTCACTCCTAGAACTGAAAGAAATACAGAGCTTAGCCATCAGAAGAGTTCCAGAACTATCAGATTCCAGTATAACTCTTATATAAAGCCAAACAGATGTAATATGTTATCTAAAATAGACTATCTTTATTTAGGGAAGGTGGGAGAGGAAAAACTGCAGCCAGCTGCAGCAACTAGAGTAATGGGGAAAAAAGTTCCAGATCTGAGAAGCAGTCTGCTGATGAAAAGCAACAGACCTGTCAACAAAACCTACAAAGATTTTCAAGTTTGGATTTGCTATAAGCAGTAAGATAACAAATTCTGCTATAGCCACCAAACTTGGATCAAGTGAGCCTAAAGAAACCCTTTAGGCTTTTTGCTCCAAAAACCCTTTTAACAGCAGCAGCTATTAATGAAGAGTGAGCCAGAAGAAATGTCTCCAATAGCAAAGATGAGGATGAACAGTATTAGAAAATTCACCAATTATCAGCTAGACCAAACTCCTTCAATAAAGGAAGACATGGGTTTTCTGCTAACCAGAGCTCTGGGAGCAGAATTTAAAATCTAAACTGGAAATAGCCATGACCAAGACAAGTGACATGCTTTCAAATTGGGGGATGTGGTAGGTGTAAAGTTAAAAGGAATAGCTTCCTTTTTAAAAAGAGTGATATAAAACTGTGTTTGGAGTCTCCCCTTTCTTTTTTTTTTTGTAATGAGTATTTGAAATTAAAATAAAAAGTACATCCCTGTTCTGATCAAACAGGGAATCCCTCTTTTAAACATGATGCTTGTTACATTTGTAGAGGTGTTTTGGAGCAGAAATTGTTTTTGTCTCATTTATTAACAAAATACAAGCTAATTTTTGAAGATTTATTTATTGTTTTTGTCTCATTTATACAAGCTAGGTTTTTTTTTAGATTTATTTATTTAGAACTGGGGTACAAGCCAGAGGTGCAGGGCCAGTGAGAGTCTTCACCAGAGACAGAGTGGGGAGCAGAACAGGCAGATCGACAAGTACATTACTGGGGGGAGTAGCGGGAGGGTCGGAAATGTCTGCGGTGCCATGTGGATCACCTCCGATGCCAGGGAGCAAACTGGCACTGAAGTGGCTGCTGCTAGCTTACAGTGCTGCGTCCTAATCTGTTGCACCACCAGGGAGGTCCTGTAAGCTAGTTTTTAATGATCCTATCGTCCAGCCAAGAAACTGAAGATCCTACATCTGTTATTACTGATGATCTCCAACACTTGCTTATGAATCAACTTAAACTCAATCCTTAATAGTATATTAGTGTGAAGTTTTGTTGTTTTTGTTTGAAAAGACATGTACATTTACCCTTTTTAGGAATAACCACAGATATTTGTAAAGGAAAGAATTAGATGGGAATTCCTTTTGTTTTATGTTTTTATTCCTTATGTTTTATGTTTTTCACTAGCCAGTGAAGACTCTGCCTTATTTGTCATAGCTCTGAAATATGACATCTCCGATGTTATGTTAATGCGATGTTAAAAAAAAAAAAGAAATGCTTAAGGGCCCTCCCTGGTGGTGCTGTTGGTTAAAGCACATCACTGTGGGGCAATCTGTGGCCATTGCAGTGTGAGTTGGATTCCCCACCTGGGAGGTGACCCACATGGCTTGCAGACCTCTCCTTACCTGCCTGCTGCTCCCCTCAGCAGTGTATTTCAGTCAACCTGCTTGTTCTGTTTTCCCATTCTGTCTCTGGTGAATCCCCTCACCCCCAGAGCCCAGTTCCTGTATGCATAAATAAATAAATCTTTAAAAACATCCTTCACATGACCATTTATACACTTGGTTTTAAATAATGT